GGTGTAGCGAGAGATATCCCTGCCCATAGCAAGGGGATTGGAACTGGATAATCTTAAAGGTTCCTTCTAACTCAAACCATTCTATGATATTCTGGTGGTGCCCACTTGTTCTAATGATTGGAAAAGGATTCTAGAAAAATTGTATTAATTTAACAAGCAGAATTACCCCAATGATCACCATATTACTAGTGATTCATCCGAAGGCAGAAGCTTGAATAGGGCTGATCTGTACATGTAAAATTGCTTTCAGATTCTTTGTTACTTCACTAAGTCAACAACTCCTCTTCTTCACTGGAGAGGAGGTGGCCTCCATAGAGGACTTTGATCACATCTTTCATACCTACATGTGTAATTTTTCATGCTAAAGGAGCATGTAGTACCAACTGTCAGCACTCAGTGTTGCTTACTATTATGCAAGCTGAAAACATCTGAGGGCTTTACAGTGCTGACAAATGCCAACATGCACCCTATAAAGTGGAACTGGACAGCTGAATGTTGCAGAAGTTATTTAATTAGTTAACTTGGAAGTGTGGGTAGAGATCTATCTTTGAAAAGAAAATATGAGGCCAAGTGCCCAGTCCTGAGATGGATTCATGTATTTGTGTAATCCTTAATGTTTTGAAATATGTGGAGTAATGTATATGAGGAGATAACTTAATCAAAGAGATGCTTATGTGTTCACAGCTCGTAAATTTGGATGAAGTCCGAGAAAGTAAGTTTAGATTAATTTAATTCTGTGAGGTTATTTTTAGTAATTGCTCTACTAAATTAAAACTTCATTACATGAACACAGGTAGAGCTCCAGCACTCCAAAGAAGATTGAAAATGACTTTTTAAAACTCCCCTTACTCATTAATGCTCTATTTTCCTCTCTATTAACCTGACTAGAGTTGGAAGCTGGGAACCAGCAATATGTCTGTTCCAGCTGTGTTACCTTTTGGATAGTACTTGTTGTGTGACGTACAAAACATTTGAAACTTGCTGTTTGTTTGTGCAAACCAACAGTCACAAGCAACCAAGCTTTTACCCAGGTACAGAGCTTTCTTTTGGTCATCAAACCCGCCCTTCGTGTGGATGGTGTTCAACCTGGGCAACAGCGGCAATACATATTTTAAATGAGTAGTTTAACAAGCTCAGATTTAATAGGGAAGTGGTGCATGAATTTCTGCTTGTTAAATATGACTGCCTTAAGGGATTAAAAAAAAAAACCACCAAAAAACAACATAAAATAGTTTAGAGTTGCATGATTAAAAATAAAAAGGTTTTGACTGGTCGAGATTCTATCTGAGCGGTTTGGCTTCACTGAGCAGCCTTTGCATTAACTTTTTGCCAAATGCATTACATTTGCTTATGATAAAACACTGTTTTGGGGTCAAGTTTGAAGTGCTGGTCAGTAAGGTATGCATCTGAGCTTATAGCCTTTGTCATTTAAATACATACCGTTGGCTTCCTTGATCACAAAAATCAGAATTAGTAATCAAAATACATTTTCTGATTTGAGATAAATATACTCCAGATGGTGGGTTTGTCATCTAGGACAATTAAGTGTGTTTATAAGGGGTAGATATGTGTAAAAGAGGGAACTGGATATTTTTGAAAATAAAATAGTAATTGGAAGAGTTGCTCTTTTCTAAGCAAGGAGTTTGGTTTTACACTGGAGTTGGCACCTGCTCAGTATCACACTCTGCTTCCAATAAGCTTTGTGTAGCTCTGTTACCTTTCCTCTGTGCAGCCAAGAGTGAGTCTGTGTAGTTCATAATATCTCACAGTGCACAGATGAACACTTTCAGCAGTGGGCACCTGTACTGTATGAGAAGAAATTTGATCTCAAGCGTCGTTGTCTTAAACCTTCCAAACTTGCAAAAAAAAGCATCTTTTTTTTTTTTTTCCTTCAGTTTCTTTGCTTTAAGTGTAGTGGAGTTCATTCTCCTGCGTTTGGAGCAGTATTTAAATTTCTTTTTTTATTTCTACTTTTTAAAAGAAATGAACCATAAACAGCCAGCTCAATTGCTACATAAATTCCTTTTGTGCATGGCATGTCCTTGAACTGTATTTTCCTAGTTTCACAGTGTATGCAACAGGCAAAGGAGGGGGGGGGGGGGAGGAAGGCAGTTCCAGTGACCAACTGAGAACATCTCATAAATGCTTTTTTTTTTTTTTTGCTTACATTTTATATCTTGCAACCACGCAGATGCAAAATGCAGTATGTTTGCAGTTTAAATAATTTAAACTGCACTTGGAATTAGAATTGAAGGATGAGTATTAATATAAGTATCAATTTGTTTTTATCAGCATCAAGGCCTGCGAGGGAAAGACATGATTTTATTCTTCATAGACCCTGTGATAACTGTTGTTCTAATACAGACATGATTAGGAAATCAGTAATGAAGTGTCAGATAGCTTCCCTGGCAGACACATCTGGCCTGAAACTGGGGGTTTTTTGCTTTTTTTTTTGCTTTTTTTTATTTTTTATTTTTTAATTCCTGCTGTGTGCCTCAAAACCAGGAACTTGCTTCCTTTCATGCTACAAAGTGCTTCTGCCATAGGTAAAGTAGGAGTGGGCTTCCAGAAGAGTAGGGACTGACTAGGCACAACTGCAACCCTAATCAGGAAAAGTGGGGAGGAAAGTCGCTGGGGACTTTCAAGGTGAGGCTGGCTCAGGCCCTGGGCAACCTGATCTAGCTGTGGTGTCCCTGCTCACTGTGGGGGAATCAGACTAGTTGGCCACTGAAGGTCCCTTCCAACTCTAAGGATTCTATGATTGTATGGTTCTAAATTATACTGTGAGCTGTTTTTTTGTGCCTTAAGCATTATAAGAAACTGCATTTCTTTGAATGTTCTTTGTGGAAGGAATGAAATAGTGTTTTGGAATGCTTCTACTGAGCAGTTTTCTTCCACCAGAAATGTTTTTCAGCTACTAGCTCTTCTGTTTATTGCTGTAGTCCAACTCTCTGTGTAGAGATCAGTCTCAGACTCAAGCAAGCAAACTCCAAATGCATGTAGCTGCTGTATTTCCAAAGTGTAGCTGAAGTGAATGGTGTTCTAGCATGGCTTGGGTAGATCATGCAGCAGAGCTGAACAACGAACTACATCCAAGAATGGCAGTCTGGCAAGAAGAAGAACTGGGTGGGCAGGTTGCTGATGTTTGTAAAAGCTTTTTGTCCACAGCTACTGGAGTGCAGTATGCTTGGGTACTCAAGTTTGAGGTAAACGTGGCAAAACGTTAACAGCAGCAGATCAAGTTGTCCTGTACAAAATTGTGCTTAACTTGACCCTGCTGCATACTGAAGTATCCACTGCATTTTTCTGTATTAGTTGATTCTGTGTTTCGTGATTCTTGCTGAAAGCAGTTCATGTTATTAAGCTTTTTGTAAGTTCTCTGGAGCCCAAGGTTTCTTAAGTATTTTTGTCAGTGTTCTTGCTTGATACAGCAGGTCCTGTAGCTTTTTGAGAGAGGGTTCTTTGTTTTGGGAATCTGGGGATTCTTTGCTTCCTCTGGAAGATACTAAATTAGAGTTTTCCTCTTCCCAGAATCCCCTCAGCTGTAGAAGAGGCTGCAATAATGTAAACCATGTAAATTCCATGAATCATTCTGGGTAAAGCATGGCTCTTAAATTTGAGTATCCATTCTGTGGTCTTTTCTACTAAGGTGTTCAGCCGTGCTATCTACTAAGTCTTAAGATAGTTATGGTTTTGCAAATTAGATAGTTGGTTAACTAGAAAATCAGCTGAGACTGATAATCTGTTTTTATGTAACCTGTCGATTTATCTGCAGGTGAAATGGCTGTTAGTAATTTCTAACCATAGATTTTTAGTGTTTAGCCTTTTCAGCTCCTCGTTGGTTTTCACAGGTGTGAGTCCTCCCAGTTTCTCATTTGCAGCGTCAGCTTTACCAAGCTATGTGAACTGCATTCTAAAATAATAACCCCATTCATATGCACAAACAAGGTGGTCTTGTGCTCCCTCTTTGATTCCTAAACCAAGTTTACCTAAGGACACATTGCAGCTTAGTGGAAGCCCTTATTAATATACTGAATTGTTCTTGTAGTGGGGAAACTTAGTGTTAAGGAAATAATAATGTATTTTTTTTTAATAAAAATAACCCGTTTGAAGCCAGAGAGAAATGCACAAATACCCTCATGCTGTCCTTAAGCTCATTGCAACAACCGAGGGATATCTTCTATGACAGTATTTTTTGTTTTAAGATGATAAATTGATGTACCTTGGATTGGAATCCAAGGGATAGGAATTGCTTTAGTGTTACCTTAAATGTGTGCGGTTTAGATGCCACTCCTCTGCTCCTCACCTTGGGAATGCCAAATTAATTCCATCTTGGAGAGTGTTCAGACCACTGAAGCTGCACACTTGACCCAGCTTGTGAAATGAATCACAGGGTCAAGTATGGGTAAAAGAATATTTCTGTGATCACTCCTTGCCAACAGACAAACAAATCTAGGAGGGAAAAACCCAACCTGTTATAACTAGTGGCTACACTAAACCATTTGGGATGTTTGTTTCAAATTCAAAACTGTTTGTAGTAGCTGTCACGATAAGTGCAGAGAAGTTGGGGGTCTTTCTTTACAATCCTTGTGTAAAGATTGAGACACAACTGGAAACTTGAGGGTTATGGACTTGCAGATAGTGGAAAATGTTTTATTGTGTGTACTGATTCTATACTCCTAATAAAACACATGGTTATTCTCTGGAAAGTGAAAAACTGGGAGAGCTAATCTGTAAAATGTAATGTTACTGTATGCTTCTGTCTTTAAGGGCCAAATTATATGTATTCAACCACCCTGGAGGTGTTCAAGGCCAGGCTGGATGGGGCTCTGAGTACCCTGGTGCAGTGGGAGGTGTCCCTGTCTATAACAAGGGATGGAACTAGATGGTCTTAAAGCTCCCTTCCAACCCAAACCATTCTATGATATTCCATTAGTCCTATGGTTTCTCTTGGCAAATCTGATTATTGGCAAAACTGATCATTTCTTCCTTCTCTGCAGGGGAGGGCTGGCTGAGAGATTGTGTCGACTGCAGAACAGAGAAAGATCTGCTATTAGCTTTTGGAGACATCAGTGCATTTCAGATGCTAAAATCCCATCAGGTAAGAAGCAGTATACGCATGTAAAAGTACATATATGTATGTGAAATATAAACATGTATATGTAAGTATGTATATGAAAGTAGATATATATGTATATGTACATGGGGCCTCTGTAGGTGTACTACTGAAGTTTATAATTTGATGTTGCCTGAATTGGGCTTAGTGTTTTCTTGATGCTTTTGAGTTTGCAATATCCCCGTTACGAAGACATTTAAATCTGAAGGGTAAAAATCTTCTTTTAAGTATCTTCCATCTACTAGATTCTTTAGAACTCTTTGCTTTCCAACACTTGGGAAAATTGTGTTTCTAGCAGTTGTTAAGACAAGTCAAGGTTTATTTTATGGACGTGCATTTTTTTTTGTTCTTATAATTGTAGAATCATAGAATCACAAGGTTGGAAACAACCTTCAAGATCATCTAGTCCAACCATCCTCTCATAATGTCTTTATATCCACTTCTTCCTCTTAACAGTTTTTTTTTTTTTTTGAGGACACCCATGTTCATGGGTAATTTCTGAAACTGTGGATGACGGCAAACGTAGACAAATGAACACAACTGTGAAATGAGTGTGAAACATAACTGTAGGGATGCTCTTCCCAAAAAGAAGGGGTAGGAGTTCAACTAATTAGTTCTAAGTGACCGATAGCACCATCTTTCAGTAATATTTGATAGGAGATAATAGATTCATAGTCTAAGAGGCTTTTTTGTCAGTTTGTATGTGACTGTAGGATACAAAATGTCAAGCCTTTATTCTTTATTAAGCCCACTAATTGTTTCTGAGCACATATTCCATTTGTTTTTCAGAAAGTCCTCTGGTCTTAATTTGAAAACATGCGGATAAGGGAATCTATCATTTGCCTTGAGAGTTGTCCTTAATTCCACTCAAAGTTTTTGTTTTTTGTTTCTCAAATCTGGGTTTGTCTGGCTTCAGTTCCCATCTTTTGTTTTCCATAAAGCAGTTCTCCATTGGATTCATGAGCTCTTTAGTATGTGGCATTATCCCTCTCTGACGCTTGCATAGCAAAATCATGCTGCTTCACAAATTTCATAAACTAAACAGAATAAACTCTTTAAGGAGCTCTAGAGTTTTTTTTCTTCAATCTTCATGGCTCTTTACTACGCATTCTCAAACTTTTCACAGGGTCTTAGAAATGAGGGCAGCTACTCCGTATGTATCCTTTCAGTGTTAGTCTTGTCAAAACAGAAGCTCAGCTTCTGTTCACTTCTAGGCCTCCTGTGTGTTCAGGGCACTTAAGTAAGGACGTGGGTCTGGTTGTTTTTGATCACAGCATGATTGTCTGATGTGATTCCATAACTTCTGCAGCTGTTGATTTCTGAGATCAAGTCTCCATTCTCCAGTTACCATTCACTTCTTTTTATCTACACAAAGGAAAGTCATTGATGAAACAATTTTAATAGTGTTTACTCTCAAATCCTGCTGGAAGTGCTGTTGTTTAATTATGGCTTTCCACTGATGAAAAGCTGAAACTGTAACTTATAAAATTAGTTGTCTGAAATATGTTTTGTATTCCACAAAGCGGCATCAGAGAACAAGAAGTGTCATTAGTCAACTCTCTTCAGAATTGCTATCTCTGTTGAGTATGATACAGGAATGCTCACTGAAGACTGATCAAGCCTTTTGCAAGTTGTTCATCCTCCACCTGAGTTACTAATGGATAGGAAGTTCCTTCCCCGTCCTTACAGTGGTATGCGAATGTCTCCTTGCTTTTTTTCTGAAATGAGGAACAGAAACTGATACTGAATGGCTCTGTCGTCTTAGCAGTTCTTATTGCTGTTCTCTGTGCTAACGGGAGTGCAAAATGACTAATATTCTTTTTCTCTTAACATTGCATGTGTCATTACAAGAACTTGTTTGGCTACTCACCAGTCTGCTAGGCTTTAACTATTAGGCTGAAATATTCACAGAATCACAGAATTGTAGAGGATGAAAGGGACCTCTGCACGTCATCAATCCCAACTTGTCAACCAAAACATCTTTCTCGGCTAGATTTTTTTCTTTCAGAAAATGAGTCAGAATTAATTAGAATTTTATGAGGAAAAAGGCTATGGAAAAATATGTTGCTCTACTGTAAAGTAAAAAAAAAAAAAAAAATTAAAATTCTGGAGAGTTTATCTTTGGGATGATTTCATTTTGGGAGAATGTCTCATAAGGCATTTCTGGGATATGCCTTTTGCCATCGTGGTGAAAAAACATAAGAACTTGGGCAAGTTAGAAATCTCTAGGACAGATTACTGCTTCATTTACTCTGCAAGCATTTGCCAGAACTTACAACTGAATTTCTTTAAGGTGCTGAACGTGCCATAATGTAGGAATTTCATTTCCGATTACCAATATTTCCAGTTACCAATCCTTATTCCAAAACACAAAGATAATAAAATTCACAATAAAATAGCTGTGATAATATTTGGAGATATTTTTTTCCATCTAGACAAAAATTAGCTTTTCATAGTTTTGTTCTTAGAATAGTTGAGCAGTTTGATGTCATCAGAATAAAACTGATGTTTCCTTTGGCAACTGTCAGTCTGAATGGTTGAAATTTTAGTAGTGCAACTAGATGACCTTATGATTGCTTCTAGTCTGAAAGTGTGAAATAACCGGTAAAGCAAAAGCATACTACTGTCATCTTTTAGGTTCATACTAGAGATCTCTTACCAACCTGAGTTTCTTCTTAGATTCATCTCCCTCTCTTTTGCATAGTAATATTTCTAAACCAGGCTGTTTCCAGGACTGCTTCTGATTTCAGCAACAGAAGTAGAGGGAAAAACTTATCAAATGACAAACTGAGTTGATTTACTAAAGGAATCTGAAGATTATTGTGGAGGATTGAAGTAATGTAAGAGCCATCAAGTCATTCTGGGTATTCCACAGACACATAGAACAGAAGTTTATCATTAAGGCAAGGAGGAGCAATTACAAATGAGATCAGTTTGAGGTCTTCCTTCCACTTATGTCATCAGGAAAACTGTTTTTGGAAGTATGGGCCATTCTTCTCCCCTTTTTAAAGCATTTCATGTTATAGAATGTTTTGCTTTTGTTTTGCTGTTACTTGTTTTTCTATTTTATTGATGTCCGTATTACCTCCAAAAAAATCTTTTGGCTGGCTTTAATTTTTTAAAATTCTTTTGTTCCTGTGACCTGTTTTGGTAAGTATCCAATGTGGTTTGACTGCCTTTTGGCTACTGGGATGAGGCAGCACCTCCAAAAAGAGTGCCTCTTTGCAGCATGCGTTTCTGTATTTTCTGAAGCGCGTGGGGGGAACTGTCCCACTTATGTCAGAATCACTCTGCAGGACAGAAGAATTTGTGTTTTTCCCAGTTAGACAATTTTGGAGTGTTATGCTTGGCAGCCTCTCCCTACATTGGGTTGCTCAAGTGATGATAGTTTTCTGAAACTGCAGGCAAACATGGAAACAAAGGTATCATACAGCAGAGGTGTGTATTGTGGGGGAAAGTGTTTACTACTAATTGTGTTCTTCCTGATGGATAATTCCATTTCTGTAATCAACCTAATGCCATCACTGAAAGGAGAGAGTGCAGAAGCCTGCCTGCACTGCATGGCATTAGTTGGATGCTTATGTGATTTAAAACTAACAGATTGGCATCAGGCTCTTCTCCACAGATCCAGAATTAGTTGTTCTTCACAAGATGCAAAAGGGAGGCTGGAAGGTGTGCAGTCGCCGTAAGAGTAAGTCTCTCATCAGTCGAGCTGATGGTTGGAGAGTACTGAGTACAAAGGCTTTTAGACCATTTGCAAGCTTTTTTCCCCGCCTCCCCCCGGCAGTGTTCTGTGCTACAACTTCCCTGTGAAATTTCCTGTTTGGGCAAAGAGATTTGGACAGTTGAGGGAGGAAAATAAAACCAACCCTTTTTCCTGTCAACATCTGCTGCTTATATGGGGATTGCATGATGCAGAAGAAAAAGTAGTGCTCTTCTGAGTTTTATTTGGAAGACTCTCCTGTCCGTAGCAGATACAAATGAGACATAAAGCAAACTCATGCAGATTCATTTCAAAAGTAACTTCTAAAAACTAATTTTCTCTGCGTTTTTTTTTTTCTTGTGGTTGCTGTCGAAGCGCTTTTTTTATTTAAAATACTGGCATGAATTATTCTTGAAGTTTGTAACCTGGTGAGATAACTGGTATTCATTGGTCTGAGATGAAGATTTAGGATGAACCAGTGTGATTGGGTTACAATTGAGTCATTGATTAAACTAAATTGATACCAAGCCTAAACTGTAGGCATTTTTTTTTCTAAACTGTACCTTCCTCTCTGCTCCTCCTTATGATGGGAAGTGATCTGGTGACTGAAGCAAGTGTAACATGTGAGGAGGAGAGTGAAGCCTAAAAGCTGAGGACAGGCCTTGGGCATAGTAGTGCATTTTTTCAGGGAGGCTGGAAGGCTTACAGAAGAGAATATGAAGAGTCACTCTCCCACCTTCCAGTTTGGGTGACTAGTTACAGTGTGGGAGAATAAAAGACTTTAGCAGCTTGAATGTGATGAGGCTTGCACAAAAATTTGTCTGTGGACAAAGAAAACAAGGATAGTCCTTAATATAGTTTCCTGTAAGCAAATTCAGACCATGCAGAATTCTTCTAAAAATACAAAAGCCTGAGCTTTCCTAGTTATTACTAATTCTTTGTTCTTGCTAATTTAATTAGTCTTGAGTTAATATAAATTAAAGAAATGGCAAGTAGCCAAATTTGGTGTTTTTTTGTTTTTTTTTGCCTGAACATGTCACAGCACTGGGAGGGAAAAATCGAGTATAAACTTGTCTTTTTCAAACAAGAATTCTCTGTATTATTTGTGTTTTCTTATGAGAAACAATAATGGCATGCACAATCACTCTAGCTTATATATGTGCTTATAAAGAGTGTATAATGTTTAAAGCAGGGCCAAATTCAGCAGCCTCTTTTAAATATAGAGGTGGGAAGAATTCATCATGTATGCATGCATGGTGTGTTTTTGAGAAACATCTTTCAG